GGGGAGGTGAACAAGTCTGCCCAAGAGAAGCAAGCACAGGGTGGATAGGTGAAAATATGCAGGCTGAGTTCCTGCTGAGGGCCATTCCCTTGCTGTAGAAAATCCTGTGGATCTGCCAGGGTAATATCAGGAGCCTTTCCTGGCTGTTTGGTCTCAAGGTCTAATTGTGTACACTTGATGAGATGGTCAAAGTTCAGATGGGAAGTGTGTAAACTAAAATAAACAGGACCATGTTTTCTGGTTGAAAATGAGAATGTTTATTGAGGGTTTCTGGGTTGAGGGAGAAGGGCTAGGATGGTAGGGGTGGGAGGAGAGAAGCTTCCCTGGGGTTTTCAGCTCCAGGGTGGAGTGAGGGTCTGGGACCTAGGAACACTGTGCAGGGGACACACTCTTCTCCACGGTGCTCCCCTCATGAGTGACCTGGCAGGTGAATGAATTATGAGATTTCCACTCATCTGCTGTCAGAGTCAGGTAGCTGCTGGCCATGTACTTATTGTTGGTCTGTTTGGAGGGCTGAGTGTTCTGCACACCCTGGGTGACCTTGGTGCCATCTTTCTTCCAGTTCACGGTCACGGCACCCGGGTAGAAGTCGTTGATCAGACACACCACTGTGGCCTTGTTGCTCTGGAGCTCCTCAGAGGAGGGTGGGAACACGGTGAGCGAGGGCTCAGCCTTGGGCTGACCTGCAAGATGGACCAGGCAAAAGGGATCAATGTTCTGGTGTCCACCCAGGAGCCCCTACACTCAGTGTGTGAGGAGGGTCTTCTTTTTCAGGGACTCTGTTGGAGCATGTGTGATATAGAAGTGTGTTGGGGGAATTCCTCAAGCTATTTCCCATGTTCACAGCCTTTAAACAACCCAGGACACCTGTGTATCACCTTACCTGGCACCTCTTAGATCTTGGGCTTTGTCACAAATATGTCACCCATGCCTTTCTGCCATGCATCTTTCTGCCATCTTTCTGGTTCATCTGTAGTCTCTTTCTATAGTTCTCTGGAAGTTTATTATGAGTGAGTTCTGACCTTCTTCCTTGGCTTTGAGGGCCAGAGTTTTTACTAACAAACCCATTTTCACCCTAATGTTTTTCTTCTTGAGTCTCTGCTGTGGGTAAGGGTCTTTGTTCCTCAAAGTCTGTCTGTCTGGCTTGGCCCACCTCCTTTTTGCAGAGTGAGACCAGAATTCCTTTTTACAGGTTATATCTGTAGGTTTCCTGTATTGGGACCTATTCATATGTAAACTCAGGAGCCTGTGCTTCTGCAGCATGTGCCCTGTGGAGACCCACCTCCACCACTCTCATCTTCAGTCACTCTTCTCCTGCCTATCTGTTATCCAGAGTCTCCTCTTCTTTTCTTCCTCCTAAGTTTCCTGAAACCCAGTGTGTGTCTGGGCTCTGTCCCTGGCAGTACTTGAAGGCTTGGTGTCCCTTATACCTCTTACCTCCTTTCTGACCTTTGATCCTGAGTTTACAGTACAGGGTGCCTGAGCTGAGTTATGACATGTTGTCCCTTAGTGTCCTAAGTCTTTGATTTCACCATTTTTCAGTCCCACAATGTCTTTTATTTCCTCTTGCCCTTAGATAGGGCCTGAAGTTTATCCCCTTACAAACTAATTAGACCAAAAAGTGCCCAACAAGGGAGAACAGATCAGAGCACTTCTTATGGACCAGCATGCCAACACAGAGAGACAGTCAGACAGACAATGGAATCTTAGTAGGTCATTCTGTGCAGTCCCCAGCCTCTGGAGTCAGAGATTGAATATCTGCCTACAAGCTGCTGAGACAATCACGAGCATCTGAACAGATAGGGTAGAGTTCAGTGTCCCAGAACTAAGATCCAGGGAGAATACTTGTCCCAGGACAGAGACAGGACAGAGACAAAGAATAAAGAAGCAGAAAATTGTCCCCAAACTTAGAGAGAGCAGAGAAAGGAGGGCAAAAAATCACTCACCTAGGACGGTCAACTTGGTCCCTCCGCCGAACACCCAACACTATGACACAGACTCGTGCAAAAACCCCTCTCTGCCTTGCCCTGACCCTCCCCCAACCAGCTGCATCTGTGCAACCTGCATGAAGGGAAGTTACCCTTACTGAGTGATGACCACTACATGTTGTCCTTCCCAGGAACCACCATCCTGGCAAAAGGCCTCACCAAAATGACAGCTATATCTTTTCATGTTCTCAATAGAAGAAACACTTTTTGGGAAAGGAAGAAACAGAAGTCCTCAGTGACAACTCTGGGAGGCCATGAGCTGTGTGGGAACCTGAGAAAGTACCAGGACCAACAGCTCATTCCTCTTAGCTCCTGCCTGTCCTGGAGCCACCAGAGGGATGTGGAGACTATGGAAGATGACGATGTCAAGACCACATGCAGAAAGCACCCTTTCAACTCTCATTTCAGCTTCCTACACACAGAGGAAGAACCAGCACTATAACAACAGCACTATACTCAGAACAAAATAAATACATGTATGATATTTGGGAGAGATTTTATGAGTCCCTGATTGACTTTTGATATTAAAATATCATTGAAAATTTCTGCTTAGGTTAGATAATCATATTTTAGTTATGTCTCATCTTTCCAGAACACAAGTGGAATATTTGCAGATGAAAAGAGAAGATGTCTGGCATTTATTTCAAAATATCATGTAAGAGTGATGTTAATTTTGTGGGTGGATGAAAATCATCCATGAATTGATAATGTTGATAGGTAGTTGATGAGAACCATAGGAGTTATTATTATTCCTGTTTTCTTTTTGTGTTGAAAATTCTCATCGTAAACACCAATTTTTAAAATGAAGAGGAGGTTATTCTTGGGACAGTGATTTTGGATGAGGTTTATCCTGCCACTGTATCCACTGAGGCCATTGATATGTCATTGGATGGTCTCAGCTTCTATATCCATGACTTGGAGTCAGTTAAGTGCTGAGGCATGTTAAAGCTGTGGTTTGGGATCAGGGATGACAATAATCAAGCTCCAGGAGGACTCCGTTATCTGTCCCATTTTGACTCCAGAATTCCCTGTGTTTGTAAGTTCCATCTTGGCAGCTCTGGTGAGTACGTTTGCCATGGTCTTGATGTGGTGGACACTCAGAGAGGGGCCCTGTGAGCATCTGGGGTACAGAGGACTAATAGATACAGATAGGGATGCATATTTAGGTTTCCTAACCCATTATCATGGCCCCTGAGAGTGTGTCTCTGACTTTGGGCTAGAGGTGCACATGATTGTCTGAGCCACTTGAGAGAGGAAGGGAGTGGGCCTTGTGGGATGGAGAATCTGGGGGCTCCTAGTCCTACTGGAAGCTAAACCTTACTTGTAGATATTTTGTTACATTCATTCTTCCCTGATTTATTCTGTCCCATACCCAATTCTTGTCTTTAGTTGATCTCTGACACAGTTTCCTTAGGACAATCAATGAATGTGGATTCTGTGCCTAATTTGGTGCCTTTTCTCACTTGTTTAATTTCTTTCATATCTTTTTCACCCATTTCCATTTAAATTTTCTCCTTTTACAGGATGACCATCAAACAACTCTAGCCATCAACTAACTGTAAACCTTCATCCTGGAAGCTTGTGGTCCAATCTTTCAGGGTTTCATTCCAACATCATGATATTGTCAACCTTAAGCCTAATTTCATATCCATTGGATCATTCAGTGATCATTCTTATATGCTTCTGACTTACCCTATGTTCTCCTACTTAGCTCCATGAAATATGAGTCTCTTTCTGAATATTATAGGACTCCCAAGGGTGGAGAAGAGGGTCAACACAATGTGGAAAATTGTTTTATTATATTAGCTGTTTTCCCTATTGAAGAAGTTGTATCTTTACTTAGCTGACATGCAATGTGAAAGTCTGAGAAATGAACATGTAGATTTCATTTTCCAAGCCTTTCCATGATTTCCTGGTGATAAGAAACTATGGACAACTCACTTGGTTAACAGTCTCCCAAAAGGGTTTCTCATAGGGAATGGAAAGTTCAAACTTTGTTCCTGCTAAGACCATGACCTTGGATCAAGGGTCTTTACCTTAATGTTTCTGCCACTAGCTTGCAGCTGAACTCCTGGAGTCCCCCTTATTTCTCCCTAATACCTCATTATGGCCAACTACCATTCTTCTTACTAGTCCTCTCCCTTCTAGGTAGGCAAGGCCACTCTGCAGGGATAAAATATCTGCTCACAGTCCCCACCAGCAAAGAAAATTCACTCAACAATTCTATGGTGGGTTTGGTGGATGGGATGAGCAGGAGATGGCATCTCACAGAGCCTTGCCTCTGCTGGGTTCTTGGTACTGCTCCTCACTTCCAGACTATGAGCCATAGCAGCCCTTACCCATCCTCACAGACTCTGATGACTCTTTTATTTATTTTTTTGTTTTTTTTTTGTAATTGTAGATGGACAGCATGCCTTTATTTTATTTGTTTATTTTTATGTGATGCTGAGGATTGAACCCAGTGCCTCCTACATGCAAGGCAAGTGCTCTACCACTGAGCTACAGCCCCAGCCCTTGATGACTCTTGATTTTACCTAGCAGCCAAGTAGTTCTCTGAACCTTCCATTTGCTTTCTCATTTCTCATCTCCTGAGTTTAACACACATGCATGCCCTTTGAGGAAGACAGGAGTCTGAAGCATGAAAAAACAAGGCCCCAAGCCTCAGGGTTTAGGGGATCTAGGCCCCTGAGCAGTGACCTTTCTGCCTAGAGACATACCAGTCACCATTGGCACATTAGAAATGTGAAATGATACATGAGTAGGTCTTCATTGATGAGATTTATGAATGAGAAACCTGGTGTGACCCTGTGTGATGGGGGCTCAGGAATACAGTAGAGAGTTGGGGAGATGGGTATTTGGTTGATGAAGGATACTCCTGGGGTTATACCCCAGAAGATTATCCAAATGGCCCTCCTTTTTCTACTGGGTGCCAGGATACCCTTCACCCTACACTGAGAACTCTGAGGCCATTGCAACTAAAATAAAGATAAGAACAAATGAGATAGAGCAAGATTTCTGATTCACAATGGGATATTTTATTGAGCAGTCAGTGGGTTCAGAGAGAAGGGCTTAGTGGGAGGACTAGGAAAAGGAGGGGTCCCTCACCAGGGTCCTTCACTTCCAGGATCAGGAGGGTGGGGTGAGGGACAAAAGGTTAAGAACATCCTGAAGGGGATACACTCTTCTCCACAGTGTTTCCTTCATGTGTGACCTGGCAGCTAAAGCTATTGTGAGATTTCCACTTGTCAGGCGTGATGGTCAGGTAGCTGCTGGCCATGTACTTGTTGTTGGTCTGTTTAGAGGGCTGGGTAGTCTCCACACCCTGGCTGATTGTGGTACCATCTGCTTTCCAGGTCACAGTTGCAGCACCCGGGTAGAAGTCATTGATCAGACACACCAGTGTGGCCTTGTTGGTCTGCAGCTCCTCAGAGGAGGGTGGAAATACAGTGAGCGAGGGGGAAGACTTGGGCTGACCTGTGTGGATAGAGAAGTGGTGTGGGTCAACATAGGACAGCCCAGGTAGTGGGGATGCCCCAAAGTTTCTGCAATCATTTTCATTGTGGTTTTCTTATCCCTTCAAGGACTCTCCTTCCCTTTTCTTTCCTTTCTTGTGAACTTAAGCCACCTGGAGAATAGATAGCACCTTCCAAGTTACCTCTCCCAGATAGTCTTGTATCCTTCCCCTTTGTAGGCTTAGTTTACCAGTCCAGATTTTCTACCTTACTTTATCCTTCTAGTACCCAGAACCTCCTTTGTTAAGTGTTCCTGGTCCATCCAGGATGGAAGGATGTTTCTGGTGGCAGTGGGGAAGCCTTGAGCCTGTACTCAGTTCACAGGGTTCCTGAAACCTCCTATCCTCTTTGACATCAGGTTCTGCTCCATCCTTGTCCTCTCAGCTCTTTTGGCAAGGAGTTGTGCTCTACCCAGACAAGTGGGGGCTCCTCTAAGTCTGCCATCTCCTCATTACAAGACCCTTTGCCCCTGCCTGGGACTGCTCACTGTCACAGACTATGGGGCACAGAAGCCCTCACCCACCCTCATAGTTCCTAATGACTCTTGAATTCACCTCGCAGCCAAGTAGTTCTGTGAGCCTTCCATTTGCTTTCTCATTTATCATCTCCTGAATTTAACATACACTTTGAGGAAGGCAGAGTCTGATGCATGAATAATCAAGGTCTCAATCCCCAGCGTTAAGGGGCTCCAGGGAAAGATGAGTCTTTGCTTCTTCCTGAGGACCACCCTGGGAAGGCTGGACTCTGGACACCTTGCCTAGTCTAATCTGGCTCTGAATCTCTCTTCCCTCAAGGCCCATTAGAGAACCAGACAGGTGCATCCTAGAGTGAGCCAGATCTCTCTCTCTCTCTCTCTCTCTCTCTCTCTCTCTCTCTGTTTTCTGGTGGTGTCTATTTGGGATAACCTCTTGAGTGCCCGGGTGCTAGGGTCCCAACTCCAGTCTTGTCCCTGGGAATTCTTTGAAGCCTTCCCAAACTGGATGAACATCCAGCCCTCAGCCTGGATTCTGGGGGTCTGTGAACTCTCTCTAAGGCCTAATGCTCCCTAATTAAACCTGATTAAACCTGGCCCCTGGTCCCCACTTGGTTTTCAGCCCCAGAGGAGGGAAAGGGACCCCTGTCCCTGTCTCCAGCCCAGGCCTTCAGGACAAGGCCATATCCCGCTTTTGGAATCTGAAGGTGGCTCCTTCTGCTGCTGGGACCCTTTCTGCTGGCTACCACGCAATCACCAACCTCCCCCAGACCCCATGAAAAAGGTAAGTGGTCTTTCCTTAAGACAGGGTAGGGAAGAGGGTAAGAAGCCCTTAGAGAGGGAAAATAGACTTTCCCAAGACAGGAGGGGTATGGGACAGATTGAGAAAAGTCAGAAGAGCCACTTACCTAGAACGGTGAGCCGGGTCCCACCACCGAAGACATACCACAGTGATTGAGGCTTGGACTAAAACCCACAGGGTCAGCACCTGGGGTTTGCCCCCTAGGGGTTGGGCAAGAATGAAAACTATTGAGTGTGACGGGTGGAGTTGTGTCCTTGACATACTGCAAGTTGTTGACTGGCTGAGGTTCTCTGTGCTGACAGAAAGGCTAAGCACAGTTGCTGCCAAGAATCCCTTTAGTGAAGCATATTCTTAAGTGGCTATGTGAGGTGGGAGAGAGTCCTGAGCTGACTTGGACCTGCTCAACTTCTCCTGGCCTCATTTTAGAACTTCTGAATATCCTTTAGACAAACCCCAATCATCCAGCCATGACAGTTTCTTCCCTGGACCCACTGACACTGGCTCATGCCTGACTTATGGAATCTCCACATGGAGACTCTTCTACTTGCATTTCTACCTGTGGAGACATAGCACAGTCCCACCACATTTATGAAACCTTCCCTGATATTTCAGACCACTCTTTGTAACCATACATACTTCCATTTATCCATCCATTCATCCATCTATCCAAAATTCCTATGAAACACCCACCTACCCCAGGCACTGTTTTGCATGCTGGAACATGGTAGGGCTCCCTTAGCTCTTACCCTCATATTTTCCTGAAATTTCTTATGTCAAGATCTAAAAGGCCCTTGTCTCAATCTGTAGGTCTTTCCCAGTAGCCTGAGGTCTCTGCAGGAGTTCCCTTTTTCTGGTCATTCCCTTCTCATTGATTATGGAGATGGCCCACTCTCTTGCTCCCATAGCTTCCTTTTCTTTCTGACCCATGCATAGCTGATGACCCTAGACTATTACCAGGTGCTTTTTCCTCTGTACTCTTCCCTCTCTTTTTGATTTGAGTCTTACGATGCACTCCACAATTGCCCAGAGGTCCCAGATTCCTCTTTCTTGCTCTGACATTTCTTCTCAGCCACAGATCTACATATATTTTGATTCCTGAACCTATCTTTGCTTGAATGTCTTGCAGGCATCTGGAACTCAACAGCTTCCAACTAAATACATTTCCATGAAGATCTGATTCCCTGCAGTGTCCTCATTTCAGCAATTTGTCTCCAAGTCAATGGCCTGGAGTCATCTTAGTAATTCCCTGACTGAATCACCTTGTGTATCCTTATACCACAACACAATGTATCATTAAGATAATCAAAAGAAAAATAAAAAGAAAATTGCAGAAGTTATATTCTAAGAATTGATGGTTGCTTTGCCAAGTGAGATTTTATCTTTATAAATAAAGATATTATATTACATTGGAAGATTATTCACTGCATTGGGATCACCATTTTTTAACCTTAGCATCAGGACTATTTGACAATGTTTGTATTAAAGACATGCACCTAGATTCTTTGAAATTAGCGTAGAATATGTGTAGAAGACATATCTCAATCACTGTGGTATGTCTTTGGGGCTGGGATCCGGCTCCCTGTTCCAGATAAGTAGCTCTTCTGACATTTATCAGTCTGTCATACACCCCTCCTGTCTTGGGCAAGTCAGACTTTAGTGTAATATTAATATGAACCCAACTCTTGTTTCTGAATAAGAGAGGAAACATTTATCCTTGCATGAAGGTATTCAAGGAAATTTCCTCAACTTATTAAACGGCGTCTTCCAAAACTTACAACAACCTTCATATGTAAAGGAATAAAAACATTTGTGGCAGGAAACCAGGAAAGTTGCTCACTCACAGTTTTCAATATGCAACAGATTCTACCCAATGTAAGGAGATGAAGGGGGAAAAGTTGTAAGTATTAAGAAAAGAGAGTGAAAATGTTTCCTGCAAATGATGTGCTAGTCTACTAAAAAACAAACCAACCAACTTAAAAGAATTAGTTGAACTGTTAAAACCCATACAAGAATTAACGTGGCTGAACATAAGAGTGACATGTAAAAATGAATAGATTTCTCTGCTGCATAAGTAACACTTTAGGATATGAAATTGTGGGAAATTTTCAATTTCAATAAAATTATATTTGAAACACCAACACATAACTAAGATTTATAAATAAATAACCCTAGATTTTAAATGAATAAAATACAAGACTACTTGACTAGTGAACATAAAAGTGAGTGAATAGAAAGAATGTTGTGTTCCTGGGTAAAAGTACAGAGCTTTATAAAGGTATCAGTTCATCTCAAATCAACCATGTATTCCCAGAAATTACAAACATAACACCAAAAGAATGATTTTTGAGAATTAGGGAATTGATTCCAAAGTTCAACAGGAAGAAAGATGGAGAGTATGTGTGGATATTTTGCAAAACAGTACTAATTATGCATTGTTTCCCCTTGCAGATACAAAAACACATCATAAAGCTAAAATAATCAAAATAAAGTAGAAGGATGCAGGAATAAACCAATACTTTAAGAGAACCACAGAGAGAATGTGATAAGTCATCATTTAGCATTTGATAAAAATCTCATTTATATTCAACAGATGTCTTTCCATTTGTCAAATAAAAAAAGTTATATGCCTATGCACACAAACTCCAGATAAAATTAAACACATCTGCACCAAACCAACAGAAGTACTAGAACAAAATAGAAGAATAATTTTATCATATCAAAATAAAAATCACCTTCCTAAACTTGGCATGGATCACAGAAACCATCAAGAAAAGGCTAAACCAATGCGACACAATAGGCTTAACAACCACTTTATGGTGGAAGACCTCATAAACAAAAGTTCTAAAATAGACCAAGGGAAAATATTTATAACACATTTTCTAAACAAGGGGTTAAGTTTCTATAGACAATATAATCAGATTCAAGCAATGGAGTAAAAAAGCAGGCAACATAATGACTTCTTAATTCATAGGAGGAAGACACTAAGTCAAAAATAAGAAAGGATAAATATTTGACCAATAATGAAATAAATAATAAATCAAACACATTCCCTTTATTCTTAACACAAGAAAGATCAACAATGTCACAATATTGGCAAGGAGGTAAGAGAAAGGGCACTGTCTTTCACTGTAGTGAGTATAAATTGGAGCAGCCTTTTGGAAGTAGTTTGGAACTATCTAAAAAATCTCAAAGGAATTCCTCTGAGATCCAGAATTTCCACTTTTAGGCATTTAATCTTTAGAGATACAGAAGTACACTATACTGACTCCCCACCCCCAGATTTTTAATGCATCATCACTTGCGTATTTTCTAGTGGAAACAACCGAAGTGACCTTTAAAAGGGGAATGATTACAAAATTCTGGTACATGCAAACTTTTTCTAGATAGCTATTTATGAGAATACCAAAGATTCATATGGACTAATCTAGAAAAATCAATTATAGATAGCTTAAAAAGCTAATTCTAGAGTAATATACAGAGTTTATTTTAAAAAAATAAAATCTCAACACCAACTCTCCCCCTGAGTGTGTGTGTGTGTGTGTGTGTTTGTGTGTGTGTTTTCAAGAATGCACATACAGTGAAAGAGTTGAACTATACAGACTAACAAGACAGTGGCCATGGAAAGTGGAATAGGTTTTCGGGGAAAGGTGGTAGGAGAGAGAGGGTAACAGAAAATGTCTGCTATTTACTTTTTATCTTCTGTATATAATATACTTCTTTCTTTTCTTTTTATATATTTTTAAGTTGTACATGTACACATACCTTCGTTTTATTTATTTATTTTTATGTGGTTCTGAGGATTGCAACTAGTGCCTCACATGTTGGAGACAAGTGCTCTACCACTGAGCCACAACCTCAGCCCCTCTTTTTTTTTGAGGAAAGTATTTATATATTTACAAAACTGTTACTATTATATTAGAATTATTTTAGATGATAACAATGAAATATTTCTCTGTGTGAACATTTTAATAAAGTCAGAAAGCTATAAAACTAAAATTTAAATGAAGTGAAACTATACCAGCCAGAGACATACTATGGAAAATTTTAAAAATTTTTAAAAAAATTCTTCAAATTTTAAAGATAGGCTTTTGAAAATGCACACAATTATCTTTTTAAAAATGAATTTTCTTATTAATAAATATGCTTCAGAAACAATTTTTATGAAATTGATTCCTTTCTCATGACATTAGTAAAATAACATTATTAAGCAGTAACTTGTTGCCAGAGTCTACCTTACAAATATAACTTTGAAGGTTTATGTAAGATGCTTTATGATATGCCACACTGCTCTGTCACACCCTTTCTCATGGATATTTGTGTTATCTCCAATTTTTACCATTATTAATAACATTAAGCTAGATAGACGGTCTTGTTTGTAAATCTTTGATTATGGCTTTATTTTCTCCCTTAAGATAAATTTTGAGAAATGGAATTACACACTGCAGATAAGCCCAGTTTCTTTCATGACTTGCTGCCTATTGCTGAATTTGTTGTACATTGAAATCCTTATAAACAGTTCAAGAGAGTGCCCATTCCTCCCAGGTATCATTGCTCTAAATTCATTCATTAATTTCATAGCGATTTTGGCATGTGGACTAGCGCATTCTCCCCATGCCTAGGAGCAGTCTGTGGTCCCAGTTCACCAACTCCCAGATTCCCCCCTGCTGCCCCATCTCTGTCTTCTGTCTCTGTCCCTGGACTCAATTCTGGCCTCACAACAGACTCCAAACCTCAGCCGGTTTTTCCAAAGCACAAGTTTGACTCTGACTTAAATCCCCCAAAGCCTGCACTTAGACAGCAGAACCTAGTCTGGGGCACCAGACCTAGGGGTTGCATCTGCTTCAGCCCAGCAGCTCCCTGTTTCCCTTGGTGCCCATGCCCTACACTCTCTGTGAAGCTCTAGTGTGTCTGCTGAGCTACCCCATCACTATCCAGCACCCATTCATCTGTGATACCAGCTTGGGCATCAACCCACAGAGGGAGCACCCCTTCTCTAACTCTATGTCTCCTAGAAAGGACCACGAGTTTGTCCCCCATAACTAGATAGGTCCCTTGGTGCAGGCCAGCTTTCTCTGTTGTATCCAGGCTGGCCCCCAGGAAATGTTTATGGACAAGGCACTGAGGGCACATCCTTTGGGGAGAC